TTATCTACTTCCACAATGCATCGATTATACCATGAATATCAAAGTTGTTCATAATGATACTCTAAACATGTTCAAGTCATTTGCAAGGTCATTCAATCATTTCATGTAGTAATCACTCATAGGGCTAGCTAGTGTAATCACATGAAGCTTAAGTGTTGGTTCATGAAATGTGACCATTAATAAAAGTCCTATTTGCTAACCTAGGTGTTGCTATATGTTTGTGTGACTCACATCCACCAAGTACCTGTGTCCACTCATGATCATATGCATAGACACATGGAGACATGAAATAACGAGAAAAGTTGCATATGTTTAAGAAACATGCGATAACAAGCAAACGTTGCAGATGTTTCAATCCAATGTTTCAGTTGTAAATGCTTGTTTATGAATGCTTGATGATCATGCTCATGTTATGCAAGTCAAATTATGCAAGGCTAACACCCGAGGTGTTACAACGACGCCAAAGTCTCTTGCGCTCTCGCTCTCAGTTGCTGCTGCTGCTTGCTGCCCTGAGGGGAGAAGACAGGAGCGCGGCGAAGAGAGAGAGAGAGAGAGAAAGAAGAGAATGAGCTAGGGTTTTGGGAGCCGGCGCCGGGTCGCCATTTTGATCTGTCGAGACGCGCGCGTGGCCGTCCGATCTGCATCAACGGCGCAGATCAACCGGGCCGGAGACCGGCCTAGGCGGGCACGAGTGGGCGAGCGCTTTCCTGACCCAGGCCCAGGTTGCGGTCTGGGAGGGAGCCGCGCGCGCGCAAGGCAGGCCGGGCCGATTTCTTGGTCGGATCAAAGGAACAGTGTTGATTTAAGTCAATTTTTGTTTTTCTTTTTCCAGTAAAAGTTTTATTTCCTGGAAAATGGATAAATGGCTTAAAGAAAATAGAAAAGAGAATTTTCCTGGAAAATGGATAAATGGCTTAAAGAAAAGAAAGATTGTCCTGATTACTTAAAGATAATCATGACAAAGAATGGTGAGAACATTATTACGTTCATAAATGAATCCCTGTATGTACAGTATTCAAAATCTACTTGGTGGATTGACTCAGGTGTATCTGTTCATGTTGCTAATTCCTTATAGGGATTCCGTTCGACGAGGACTACGCAAATAAGAGAAAGACACATTAAAGTTGCAAATGGAGTCCAAGCAGATGTCGAAGCCGTTGACGATCTTTCTCTAGAGCTTGCTGATGGCTTCACACTTTTACTTAGAGATGTACTTTATGTTCCCTCTTTATAGAGAAATTTGATTAGTATTTCATGCTTGGACAATGATGGATATGATTGCCATTTTGGAAATGGCAAATGTAAGCTAACATTTAATAATGCATGTGTTGGTCTTGCTATCTTACAAAATGAGCTTTATTTGTTATCACTACGTGATGATGTGAATGTTGTATGCGATGATGGAAACGTTGCGTGCAACAATGAGAATGTATCCTCGTCTACGGATGTAAACAGAAAACGAAAGAGAGCTCACGATGCGTCGTCGAAATTATGGCACTGTCGTTTAGGCCATATTTCGAGGGGGAGGATAGAAAGACTAGTTAAGAATGATATTCTTCCTCCATTAGAGTTCTCAGATTTAGAACAATGCAGGGAATGAATAAAAGGAAAGTATGTAAAGAAAATTAAGAAAGATGCCAAACGAAGCGCAGTAATTTTACAGATTATTCACACAGACATCTGTGGTCCGTTTCCTTTAAAGAGTGTGGATGGTTATGATTCGTTCATAACATTCACAGATGATTACTCCCGTTATAGCTACATTTATCCAATCAAAGAAAGAACATAAGCATTGGATAAATTTAAGATATTTGAGGCAAAAGTTGAAAACCAACACAATTTAAAGATTAAGATAGTCAAGTCCGACCGTGGAGGGGAGTACTACGGTCAGCATACCCCATATGGCCAAGTTCCTGGACCTTTTGCAAGGTTCTTACAGGAGAATGGCATAGTAGCCCAGTATTCTACACCGGGCGAACCTTAGCAAAATGGAGTAGCTGAAAGGCGCAATCGTACCCTGATGGATATGGTGCGCAGTATGATAAGTTACTCCACCTTACCGCTGAGCCTGTGGATGGAGGCGTTAAAAACGGCCATTCATATTCTCAATAGAGTACCAAGTAAGTCGGTGCCCAAAACACCGTATGAGTTATGGACAGGAAGAGTACCCTCACTAAACCACTTACATGTGTGGGGGAGTCCTACTGAGGCTAAAGTATTTAACCCAAACATTGGGAAGCTAGATCCCAAAACAGTAAGTTGCCATTTCATTGGCTACCTAGAAAAGTCAAAAGGTTTTTGTTTCTACTGTCCAGACAGACATACAAAGTTTGTAGAAACAAGACACGCTGTCTTTCTAGAGGATGAAATGATGAGGGGGAGCATGGTAGCTCGAGAAATTGACCTTGAAGAGAAGTGGGTGTATGCGCCCACTCCGATGATTCATGAGCCATTTTTCTCACTACCTGCTGTCGCTGCACCGACAGTGCAAGATACTGTGGTGCCAGCACCCGTTGTTATTCCGTCTGTGGCAACAATAAATGACGATGAGGAACCTGTTCTTCAGGATCTTGTAGAACCTATTGCCACACATGAGGGGGAGCAACAACAGCCTCAAACAGAAGATGTGCCAAATGTGGAGGCCCCTAGAAGGTCTCAAAGAGTTAGAAAATCAGTTATTCCTGCTGATTATAAAGTATACAACACTGAGGAATTTTAAATGGAGGATGATCCCACCTCATTTGAAGAAGCCATGAGAAGTGATCATTCATCAAAGTGGCTTGAGGCCATGGAAGATGAAATAAAATCTATGAATGCCAATAAAGTTTGGGACTTAGAAATAATTCGTAAATGAGCCAAAACAGTAGGCTGTAAATGGGTCTATAAAACAAAATTTGACTCTCAAGGGAATATAGAGAGATATAAAGCACGACTTGTGGCAAAAGGCTTTACGCAAAGAGAAGGCATTGATTACAATAAGACTTTTTCTTCAGTCTCATGTAAGGATTCCTTTAGAATCATAATGACATTAGTGGCACATTACGATCTAGAATTACATCAGATGGATGTAAAGACGATATTTCTCAACGGGGACTTGGAGGAAAATGTTTACATGGCACAATCGAAATATTTTGTCATGAAAGAAAAAGAACGAATGGGATGCCGCCTAAAGAAATCTATTTATGGATTAAAACAAGTTTCAAGACAATGGTACTTGAAGTTTGATCAGACAATAAGAAATTTTGGGTTTAAAGATAATATAGAGGACAATTGTGTCTATACAAAGTTTAAGAATGGAAAGTTTATCTTCCTTGTCCTGTATGTGAATGATATCTTACTTGTTAGCAGTGATGTCAGTCTACTACTGGAGACAAAGAAGTTTTTGTCCTCAAAATTTGATATGAAAGATCTTGGTGAAGCTTCGTTCGTTCTAGGGATCGAGATTCACCGAGATAGAAGTAAAGGGGTATTATGACTGTCACAAAAGGCATACATAGAAAAGATCTTAAAGAAATTCAGTATGCACAAATGTAGTCTATCACCTGCTCCTATAGTCAAGGGCGACAGATATAGGGATTTTCAATGCCCTAGGAATCAGTATGAGATCGATCAAATAAAAATGGTTCCATATGCTTCAGCTGTCGGAAGCTTGAAATATGCTCAAGTATGTACGTGCCCTGACTTGACATTTGTTACCGGGTTACTTGGCAGATTCCAGAGCAATCCTGGAACAGAACACTGAAAATTAGTAAAGAAAGTCTTACATTATTTGTAAGGAACGAAATGCCTCATGATGACGTATAGAAGATGAGATTCACTCTATATAGTGGGGTATTCAGATTCTGATTATGCGAAAGATGATAAAAAATCCACGTCTGGATATGTATTCACTCTCGCAGGGGGAGCTATTTCATGAAAAAGCTCAAAGCAAACCGTCACTACATCGTCCACAATGTATGCCGAGTTTGTAGCGTGTTATGAGGCAACGGGGCAGGTGAACTGGCTATAGAAGTTCATACCTAGTTTGAATGTGGTTGACGACATCTATAGACCACTTAAGTTATATCGCGATAATAATCCGGTAGTACAGTATGCTCACAACAATAAGTCAAGTGGTGCTGCCAAACACATTGACATAAAGTATTATGTTGTGAAAGATAAAGTCCGGGATCATGTTATACGTCTTGAGCATATAAGTATCGAAAAGATGCTCGCGAATCCGCTTGCAAAAGGCTTACCATCCAATGTGTTCAGAGAACATGAAGCTGGCATGGGTTTAAGGAAAAACCTATAATTCCTGGATAAAAGAAGGCCCAAAGTTAAGTATCTGTTTCAGAACAGAGTGGTGTGTTGTAGTTGTTAAATCTATCGGCAATTGACCGTGACGATGAAACATGCTCTATGCGCCAATCTGTAATGGAATGAACAAAAGTAAATGATATGAAATTAAAAGATGGTAGGAGATCAAGGGGGAGATTGTTAGATTGATCTCTAATCCTAAACTGGGCCCAACGACCCAGTTGGGCCTTTGATCCGCGCCCTGATCGGCGGCGCCCAACCCACTATGGCTGGAGGGCCCCTGTTACACTTCGCAATAAATAGAGGTGGAGGACGGCGGCTCTTAGCACGAGATTCGTTTGAGCCAAGCTCCCCACCGAAATCCCTAATCCGATCTAGAGGGTGCGCAGCCAGTGACGGAAAGCCAACAGCCGCGCCGCCACCGGACTGCGTCACCGGACTCCACTACCTTCACTGCCGGTCGCCACTGCCCATCACCGACATCGTCTTCACCGACCGTCGCTGCCCTCGCGTAGACACCGACACAACGCCCATGACAGACGCCTCTGGATCGAAGGTCTACGATGGTCGGTAACCTAACACTACTCATCCCTCTAATCTCTGTCTAGTTCATGTACTAGGACATGCTATCCATTTACGAGATGCACCCGACTAGATCTATGCTGCTAGTTATCCTGTAGTCTTAACATCCTCAACCAACCATGAACTTCCGATGCTCAATCGTAGACTGTTACTGGTATATGAAGTGTTTGCCGCTTGCAGGTCGAAAGCTGCTGTGCGTGGACCCATCTTACCGCAGTGTCCTCTTCGACGTGAACACGTGCCGAGTGGAGACCATTCCCTACTTCCACGTGCCCAAGCATTCGCCCTTGCCCTGCTTTGTCCCGCTCCCATCCAGTGCTGATGCCGCCGCCGCCGACGACGGTAATGGCAGCTTCTACATCATTGAGGGTCGTCCCTATCAGGAGGAGCTGCAGGGAGACGACGAGCAGCTGAGCAATCAGTTTGAGGCTTTTGTCTACAAATGCGATTCCAAGTCCTGGCAGAGGCAGTTCCTCCCACCGCCGCCATTTATCCATGACCCTAAGCACTACGAGAACAGCAAGCACCCCGACATCACCTCCTACGCGGTGGTCGAACGAGGCGGCTCCCATGTCGTCTACGTTTCGGCGGATGGCACTGGCGCCTACTGCTTGGACACGGTGACACACACTTGGAGCCATGTCGGCGACTGGATGCTACCCTTCACAGAGGTAAGGTCGAATATGTGCCGGAGCTGAAGCTGTGGTTTGGCATCTGCACCCAGGACTGGCAACTGGGCGCTGCTGACCTGTCCACCATGGACTCCCAGTCCCAGCCACAGCTAGTAGGCACTTGGAAGGAGCTCGAGGTACCTGGAGACTGGAGGGAGATGAAGCCTCCTCAGCTTGTCAACCTAGGCTCTGGCAGGTTCTGCATCACAAGGTTCTTCTTCCGTGCTCTACCGAATCCCATGTCCTATGTGAATCCGATGGCCTACTGTGATTCTGAATATTTCACCGTCTTGACTGGTATCGATGTGGTGCCATGTGTCCATGACGCCCATGGGACTGCCAGTGACACCTTTAGCGGTGGCAATGGCAGCAAGGGTAAAGTGCAGCTCCAAATGATCAAGCACAATTCAAGACGCCACATTTCTTATGGCAGTGTTGGTAACATTGAGGTAGTGTTCTGAATAAGTTTGGTTCGTTGCTTCCAGACCCCCCCTGTGTGTTATCTTATCCATCACTACTATCATGTTTTTTTTAGGGATTCTAATTGTCATGACAGTCTTAAGAGCGGAGTAGTCCATTTTCTACTATGTTTAGTGACAATATGACATCTCTTGCAATATAATGGGTACAAACCGCCAAGGAAAATAGTTTTCACCTTGGCAGTGTTACTTCTGCTTCCAGACATCTCCATTGAGATAAGACAATAATAGTTGAGTCCACAACTCCACATCGACATTAAGCAGTGGGAGCACAAAGTGCTGAAGGACTGTGATTCTCACTGTTCAATGTCAAGCAATATACGATATAGATCTGCTTTGGAACCCGTGCACCACTTAATAGTAATGAGCAAGGACAGGTAACCAAATAAGCTGTTCAAGAAGATCAGCTGGGGAATGAACTGGTACCACACATTAAGACTGTTCCTGAAAAAAATTGCATTGAAGTAACTAATCAGATCCCAAGGTTCATTTGTGCAAATCCAAGAAGAATTGAGATCTTCGTCTTCAGTGAATTGAGAAACGGCAGCTCGCTGCGGCTACCATGCCAGACAGGGTCCACACCAAAAGGGTATGCATCTCTCTTACCTTAATTAGTCCTTCAGTACAAGCATCACTACAAGAAGGGATCACGGAATGCATAGGGAGATTTACCGAAAAGCCCAAATGGAACAGAAAAAATTCACTGTATATTAATCCTGTGTAGATTGAAAAAACTGCCATCATCATAACGCCCACCAAACATCATCTCCATTATGTCTCCAAGTTTCTGTGAAGCTAGTTTCTTCTCCTGGATTACCAGATAAAGTGTTGCAAGTAACAAGCACATTCCATGGCCCCAATCACCAAACCTGACACCAAATAAGAAAGGGAAAGTCACAATTAATGGTGAATACTCCAGGATTTGCTTCTTGATATTTGGCTACACCATACGCATCAACAATTTTCTGGAGCGCTGAAGTAAATTTATTCGTCTGAAAATATGTTGGAGGAGATTCTTTTGTGTTGAGAAATTGAAATACTGAGCCAACTTGGGTGGGATTTGTTATCAACAGTAGCACGCTGAAGAGCACCTTGAATCTGAACGCTTGCCCACTACACAAAGCGGCCCACTGTGCCGCTTAATTTAGCCGGCCCAGTCATTGTCTGGCTCCAGAAAAGCGGCCCATGGCCCCTCAGAGAAAATAGCCCAGGATCAGTCACTGCTCCGATCCCTCCGCCCCGCCCCCACCGCCATTCTGCTCCGATCCGGTTCTAGACGAGAAGCTCCGCGCCCGTCGCCTCCATTCTCCAGCGCTGCGCTGCGTCGGTTTGATTGAATCGACAGGCGATGGGTCTCTCGCGCCGGTTTCTGAACCTGATCGTGGACAACCGCACCATCCCTGGAGTCAAATCGCTGTGCTGCATGGACCTTAACCTGCGCCGCCACAGCTTGTTCGACACAGCAACACCGCCGGCACGCAAGAAGACAACGACACGAACACGAGCACCCAAAGGAAACGCCTTGGCCTTCAACAAGATCCAGCTTCCCAGCCCAAGCTTCAATGTGCGGGCATCAGATTCCGATTTGACGGACCAACGGATTGACTTCTTCCCGGCGGCGGCGGATCAGAGGGTGTTCTGCTTGGACCAGCTAGGGCGCGGGTTCCTGCTGGAGGCGGACACGCCCCGCATGGTGATGATGCCTCGCCTGCACAGGCTCAAGCCGGAACCCATCTCCCTCTACGTCCCCGGCGCCGAGCCTGATTTCGATGACCTCGACGGCGGCGGGGGCGGCAACCTTTTCATCATGGACAGGAGGGTTGCCAAGCCAGGGCCGAGGGTGTCAGCGGCGGCGGCGGCTTTCAGTTCGAGGCCTTGGTCTACCGCAAGCCGAACTACTCTGGGTTCCTGTCCAAGACCTGGCACCGCGAGCTGGTCCCGCCGCCGCCGCCATACGTCCATGGCGGCGGTGCCGGTCACAGCTGCCTAGAAATCAACTCCTACGCTGTTGTCAAAGCGGGCTCTCAGATCTGCGTATCCGTAGACGGTAACGGCACCTACTGCTTGGACGCGGCGAGCGACACCGGCACCTACTGCATCGTGACGGACACCGCCACCTACTGCAAGGACGACGCGTGGAGTGAAGTGGGCAAGTGGACGCTGCCCTTCCGAGGCGAGGTTCACTACGTTCCCGAGCTCAAGCTCTGGTTTGGCTTCGCTGCCGAGGACCAGAACCTGCTGGCTGCTGCTGACCTCTCCGCCATGGATTCCCACTCCCAGCCACAGGTCCTGGAGTCTTGGAAGGAAATCGAGACACCCAATGGATGGCAGCAGGTACAGGACCCTCAGCTTGTCAGCCTTGGCTCTCGCAGGTTCTGCATCGCGAGGTTCTTTCGCACCGGCACCGCCATGGATGATTGCCAGAATGTTACGGTCCTGACTGGTGTGAAGGTTGTCCGTGGAGCCTGATCGTTTGCTCGTATAAGATCGTGGATTATAAGCTGGAACAATATTTTTCTCTCACACCAAACCAGCCAGCAGTAAATAATCCACGATCGTTTCCCTGGCAAAGTGGGGGATCTTCGGATGGTCAAGCACAAATCACTATGTCACAAGTCGGGATGTGGCGAGGATACCATCACAGCGGTTGTCTGAATCATTTTAGGTTGGCTTGGACTCCTGCTATCCATATGTGTATCGTCTGAATAATTTTGGTTTACTAGCTTGATTCACCAAAAACCAATTTCATTTCATCATAACATAAAAAAAGCAGTGGCGAATTTGCACGTGTTAGTAATAGGTGACTGAATAATTACCGCGTTATTTTTGCGTATGTACAGTATTCATTTACGTGTTGGATTGCACGCGTGCTGGATGCCTAACAGAAGTGGGGATGGTACATCGTTTTCAGGGCAAGAACGCGGACAGACAGACGCTGGGCAAGCAATGGTTGTCACAGGCGGAAGCCCAAGCGCAGGAAGAAGAAGCAGAGCGTGGCGAGGACGACGGCGGACTCGATCACCCACAGCAGGTGGAAGACGACGCTCTCGTACAGGCGGCGGAGGAAGTCGACGCGCGGGAGGCCCGCGGCGGCCCCCTGCCCGTGCCCGTGCCTCCGTCAGCGCAGCGCGGCGGACAGCTCGCGGACGCGCAGGGTCCACCGCGGCGACGACTGCTGGCCGCCCGCGCCCGGTGTCCCGGCCACCGTCGCCATCTTCTTCCGCAGCCACTCCCGCTTCCTCCTGCCGGCCATCGGTTGGTGGCGCGATCGATCGATCAACTGTTGCTGCCGCCGAGAACGAGCTCTCTGCGTCGACCTGATCCTGTCCTTGATCAAACGCTTGCCAGCTATGCTAGGCGTCTAGGCGAGTCTACTCTGTGCGGATCCACTCTGTGCAGAGCTTTTTATGTTGGAGGGTGGTCGGATCGTGACGCGGTCTTGCAACCGCGTGTTGACGAATTCTTGGATATCATATTGGAGTAGTTGAGATCGGGCGGCAAAAGACCGAACAAGACCGGCAGTTTCCTGGGAAGATGGCATGCTGTGCTGACGACCGCGCGAGCTTGGCTTATGCAGTTGAGCTCATGCAAGCAAGAACAAGGATAGTGGGAGTAGGTGAGACGAAAAACATTCGGTGGGAATGGTCGTAGATTCACGACGTGTCCATGCGCAGGTATGTAACGTGAGACGAGACTATTACTTAAATTTAGAAGAAATAATTGATAATAGAACTACATTCTTCTCATATGACAGATGTATACGCATAGACACATGTCAAATGTCATGAATAAAAAACAGGTGTCCACGGCTGCTCCATGAACATCATTCCCGCTGAAAAATTTCCCGGATGAGATGGTGAGCTTGCGCGTTGTACCATGTCGCCAATGGCCCCCAACAGCATGAGGTAAGCTTTTTTGGCCGCCCAGTGGTGGCGTCCTGACTCACTCATTCCCGCGCATGCCAACGCCGCTACTTCAGATTAGATATACATGGGGTGTTTGGACGCACCTCTCGGTCATCATTCGAGCACCCTCATATTACACGACTTCCACCACATCAAGAGCGTGAAGGGTGACGCCGCGCCCCCGTCCCTTGCTACGCGACTTCCTCCGCAACCGGAGCATGCGGCGACGCTGTGCTCCGTCCCTTGCTGTACCCTGTGCCCCCATCCCTTGCTGCGTCCGACGGACCCAAGGAGACCTCGAACGACATCTACGGCGGGTTAGGTTCTCGTGTTGCCATATGTGCCTGCAGCAGACATCCGGCACATGAGAGAGAGACAAGAAAAAGAGGGAGATAAATAAATATTTGTATTGCAACGACAAACAATAAAATCTCATAGAAGCTAGAGATAGGGGCAAAATGATTAGTTTATTTCTCCTCACAATAAGTTTCATACAAAAGATTCTCGAAACAAATCAAGACATCAGCCACAACATCCATGAGTTATTATTAGAACATCATAAAAGCACATGTGGCAACATATATAGGAGAAAAAAGACCATGTTTGCAACATCAAAATGTTTCAATCTCAACAATAGAAGCTACACTTAGGAACAACAGAAAAATGGTTAATCAATAGGCAAAATAACCAATTACTGCATCTCAGTTTTATTGCAGCAACATGAGAAATCATTTATTGTAACATCTCATTTTGTTTACTGCAACATGGAAAACCAGCAAAATGCAACATCCAATAGCCCGCTACTGGAACATCAAAATAAAAGAGATGCAACATCTCTAGTCAACATGAGAAAATCATTGCTTACTGCAACACCAAGAAATCATCACCTAATGCAACACCAAACATTCATGAAATGCATCATGCTAGTTTTATTGCAACAACGTGAGAGACCATCTACTGAAACATCTGAAATTATTGTGGAAACATGAGAAATCTTCTGATGCAACATAGAAAAACAACAAATGCAACATCCAAAAAACCATATGTCGAGAAACCACAGTCCTATATCCAAAGAGGAGGTTGTGGATTTATTAGGCCTCCCTGAGCAGCACAAGATGTCTGGCTTGGAGCATCAGGACAACAACGGATGGGCTCGTAATATGCCGACTTGCCAATGGAGGAAGGTGGAAGAGTGCACGCGCAGAGCCAAGCTGGTGAGGGGTGTGGTAGAGAGGGAGGCAGTCAGCGAGCGAGCACGGTGGAGAAAGCGGCCGGTGCAGAACGGACGGCCGACGGCGATGCAAGAACTCGATTGGGTGGCGCTGAGCAAACTGTAAGAAAAAAAATTAGATAGAAGTATGAGAGATTTAGCATAGAAGCCTGGTGCTGATAGTGATACTGATAAGGACCCGTGGATGGAGACGGAAGACTGTTGGGCCGTTCGAGCCCAGCCACGTCGCGTTCGATAAATTGAAGTCGTCCGGACGCCCGCTTCCTATCAATTCCGCATATTGTAGATATATACAATTCAGCTGCTATAGGTCTATGGGCCATTAAAATTTTGTCAACCAGGGGGACGGAGGCCCAGTTTGGCCTCCACTTTCCTCCACTCCTGGCCTCATCGCGCTTCCCCCTAACCCCAAGCCTAGCCCAGTCATGGTCGTGCCCAGCCGCCACCCTCGCCGCGATGCCCTTCCCAACCCGTGCCCGGCCAAGCCATGGCCGTGTGGGGCGGTTCGAGTAGGCATGGAGGAGGACAACACGGAATTAAGTTATCTTTTTCGGAAATGCTAATAAGAAAGCGCGCACGCTATGAGGACGCCGCCTGCAGGCCAGTGACCCGCACACGCACACCCGTGACTCGTCTTCAACCTTTCCCCCTCCCCTTCCCCTCCCTCTCTCTCACCGGCGGCCTCCTCCCCGACGCTCGGTGGCCTCCTCACATCCGCCCACCCACCTCCCGCGCCCCACTGTCTCCCCCGCGCGTGGCCATGGCGGATCTGGCCGCGGCGTGGCGGTGGATCCGGCGGCGGCGGATCCGCTGCCAGGTAGGCCCCTCGTCCTTCTCCTCCTCCTCCTGTTGCTGCTGTTGAATATGGTTTTTAGGGTTCCGACGAGCTCTCTCTCCCTTCTTCTCCAACTCCAGCGGGGTATAGAATGGCCCGCCGGGTGTAGGTAGGCCAGGCGGTGAGAATGGTCGATGGGCGGCTTAGGGGAGTTGGCGGCGGCAGGGGCGGGGGAAGCTCGTGCGGAGCTGGAGAAGATGGCGGTGATCGAGCTCGCTGGAGCTGAAAAAAGATGGTGGCAGTGGGGGGAGGGGAAGAGGGCGGCCACCGCGGGCATTAGGGTTCGTTGGAGCGCCCGCGGTGGGGCGGTGGCCGGCAGTGGGGGCGAGGGTGCCAGAGTCGGTGAAGATAGCTGCTGAGTTTTTTTCGACTCAAATCTCCTGTGCTAGAGAGGTGTGCGCGCCGGGAGCCCAAATCCTGCGCGCGCATGCTGTAGTAATCTCCTTGAATTCTGATTTCATGCTAGAGCTCCTCGAAACAGTTTTCTCATAGCCTAGATTTATTGTGTAGTACTCTATGGTAGAGCCGGTGCACTAGAGTTGTTTTTGTGAAGACGAGGCTCTTCCAAACAAGCTCTAAGCACAAGAGCACTTCCGTAGGAGCCGTCAAATCATGCCCTGTTTTGAGGGATCGAGTTGGAGTTGGAGGGGATAACAATGATCATAACCGTCGCTGTGTCTCTCTGTACAAAGGTCAGGCAACACCGCAACACTACTGCCAGTGACTGTCAGAGGGCAGAGGCACAGCGTCACTGGTCTCCATCCTGCTCTTCAGATCTGCCAGTGTACATGTACGTACTCCGTATCCTCTGTAGTCTCTGCTGCATCGGTACATGCTTGTCTCGGCTCCACCTTCAGGTTTTTTCAAGACATCACGGTCGGCACCTGAGCTGCCATTCTGCAACCGAACCTGCGGCCGAGGCAACGCGGCGCGCTGCTTGGACTGTTGTTGCGCGTGCAGGTTCAGCCGCTCACCGTCAGTGACAGTGCTGCGGTCAGGAGGCACGTTGTCGCCAAAGACACGACGGCCGTCGTCGCCCTGCGCCCGGGCAGTGCCCTCACGGCGGCGCTGATGTTGTCGCCGTAGTCCGGCGGCGACATGTTCCCGTACAGAGGAGGGGAGTTGCCGTATCCGGCCGGTGGAGAGCTCCCGTACCCGGGGGGAGACCCGTACGTTGGCGTCAGCGGAGTCGACGTGTTCAGGACCGAACCACCGGTGCTGTCAGTTCCACCAGAAACGGCAAAAATCAGCACACGTCTATGTTTCCTGTATTTCTTTATCTTTATTAGAGAAAAAGTTTTTTTTCTTTGCTTGAGCTGGTAGAATTTACCTCGTTGCTGGATACAGACACGTTGAAGTACCTGCGCATGCAGTTGCAAACAAAGAAGCGAATGAATGAACATCTATGCAGATTGCAGAACAAGAACTTGCTTTGATGGTCTGTTCTCGACGTGTTCAGAGGGTGAGAGTTTACTTGGGTTGGCGGTGGTGAGGACGGCGGTGCCGGCGAAGTCGCAGCTGGTCTGCACGGGGTTCTTCTGGTAGTAGCTGTTGAAGGCGTAGGACGCGTGGTCGCGAACGGTGTCCGGGCTGAAGCAGCTCCCGCCCTGCTGGATGACGGAGCAGTCGGCGCCGCCCTGCCCGCACGCGTAGTCCAGCGCCACCTGCAGCGCCGTCGCGCTCGCGCTGGGGCTCGCCACGCACCAGCTCCCGCCACCAGCGCCAGTGGCCAGCGACGGCGCCGCCGGCGTCGCGGTGGGCATCTCCACGGGCGTCGCCGTCGGGTTCACCACCGGGACCGTGGCCAGGGGCGACGTCACGTCGCGCTCCAGCCTTTTTGTCACGACGCCGGCCGCGTCCTCGGCTGCTCCCTGCAGTTCGCTTCCTCCCTCTGCAGCGTGAACCAAACCAAACCGTCATCTTCTTTTTCAGCAGCGCCTGGATGAACTAAAGCTCTCGTCTTGTGCTTAGTTTGATCTCCTCCAGTATTTGGACGCTGATTAGTAAGCAAAACAAACAATAGAAAGCAGATGTTTGTTTGGTACTTCTGGTTAATAATCCTGATAAAGTGTGTGTTTGTCTGTTGCTGCGGCGCACTGACATGACACATTGCTCGTCAGTTTCAACAACTGAATAAACTGACTAAACAAGCAGTCAAAAGACAATGAGATCTCCAACCAAAAACCATCCATCTTTGGTGTTCAAACCGAAGCTGGTTGTAGCAAGGAACGCAGCTACATGACAGCTAACAGTATCAGCAGGCAAGACAGCAGCAGGCAGCAGAGTAAGTAACTCACCATGGCACAAGAGGAGGACAAGAAGAGACGCCAAGCCATGGACTGGCCTCCGAGCCATGCCAAGCTTGCTCAGCTCTCAGCTCTCAGCTCTGAGCTTTGGTTCCCAGCGAAGCAGCGCTTACTAGTAGTAGCCGGCAGGGGTGTGCTGATTCAGAAACGAGTGTGTGTAAAGCGAGCTGGCCAGCTGCTGCTGCTGCTGCTATCACTCTTCTCCTACTCAGGACAGGACCAGCTGCTGGTGTGCAGACAGACCAGGCGCATGCTTTCTCCAGTACACGAACAAACAGAATCACAGGTCTGGCCGGGGAATAAGAGGAAACTTGGGCGGGCAGGCTCCTAGCCAGGACAGGAGGCTTTGGTGATATGGTTAACAGCACAGTAATGAGCAATAGATTAAGCGAGAGGAGTGGGAAAGTGAAAAAAGAAAAAAAAAAAAAAGGGTTGGGTGAGTTGGGACTTGGGAGGCGAAGGCGAAAGAAAGAAATTCTGTGATGCGATGTGGGGCTTCATCTTCATGATGGCTTATTAGCCGTCATGATGAGGAATGGATTCCCGTTTGGTGCACCCGGATTAGAGCGAACATTTCATTTCTTTTCTTTTGTTCCAGATTCGTATGGGATAGAATGCGATCCCCTCTTTCCTCGTACAGTACCAGTACGTGCTGGTTTTTTCAGACAGACGTCGAGGTCACCGTTTCCTGACGATGCCGATGGCGTGCACGGCCGGCGCCAGCAGTGATCTGATCTGACCCCTTTTACCTGTCGATGCACTGGACTGGTCTGGCCGGTCTGGATGCAGTTTGAGATAAGCCGGTAAAGAAAGAGGAGGAGATGAGCTTTCAACTTTCTATCTGATGCTGCTTGCCTGTCTCTGCCTCTGCCTCTGCCTCTACCTGCTGCCTTCATGAGTTCTATGGTCATGGCTTCGTCTCCTTTCTACCGTGGAGCAAGCAGAGGCAGCCATTTCGATCGTGATGCACATCTTTAAGTTTTGAGAAAAAGGATCCTAAAGATTACTTATTGGTGATGCACTTAGGCTATCTCCATTTTCCACGCGAGTCTCCGCTCCACACTTTGCATCTCTTTTTGCGCTTCTCGAGCGGAGCAGCTGCGACGGATCGGCCATAGAAAAAGCTCGCAGATTTGCCTTTTGTCGCCCCCTCCAGCCGTAGGTCGTGGGCTATAGACCTAGACGGCGCCGCCTAGTACTCTGCGTCTACTAGAAGGAGAAAAACGAACGTGGTCGCCACTCTGAAAGCCTGAACATCCGTGGGGTGACCAGCAGATGCGAAAAACCTAGGAGTGCCACGACGAGCAGATGCGGAATTCTGCTGTCAGTGGCTGATCTACTGCTTGTCTGCTTACTAGAATGTTTCCATGGAATTTCAGGTGCAAAGATTTCATTTCTGCTGTTATAATTAAAAAGGAAGGGCTTAGAATGTTTCATGACTTTTGTGAAAAGATTTAATTTTCCCTCTGAAATGAACGACTCTTGTCACGGAGTTTTGCAGTCTGAACATCTGTCACGGAAGCAACATGCAAGCAAGCGTGCGTATTAATCATAACAACGACATGCAAGCAAGCAAGCCCACTAACAACGACATGGGCTTTGGCCGTGGCAGTCATATTCGTAGCTCAGGGGGTCCAAGTCCAACACTAGCAACTTGTTTGAAATTTCTTTTTAAGACAATTGCAGAAAGGAGAGTTTGAAATTTCTTTTTAAGTCCAATACTAGCAACACTAGATGCTAATTTAATTTGCAAGAGTTTAAATCTAGTTATCTAACATGTGAAGGGAAATTTTGGTCCACAGTATTCACTAACCCACTTGACAATGACATTGTCCATCATGATACACTCCATGAGATGCATCCAAACTTTGCCAAGTCTCCAAATTCCCCGTAGTCCAAACGGACTCCTCACTTCCCCTTCAGGATCAAAAATTTCTTGGTGCTCTTTATATTTGAGATGATCTCTTTTGGCACCCAAAAGCGTTTGACCCCATTGTTGGCTTGCTTATTTACCTTGATAGCCACCACCTTGTCATTTTTCTTCTTCTTTAACAAGTATGGTGTGGAGGCCTTCTTGTCCACTTTCTTGGTGTAGGTGTTGGAGAGCTTGCTTATTGACCTTTTGTTTTTCTTCTTAGCCCCTCCCCCATTCTTCACATTGCACTCAAAGGACTTGTGACCTTCTTTATGGCACATATAGCAAACCACGGTTTCTCCCTCATCAAGGTTCTTCACTCCCTTGATGGTGTTATCTTGATGAGGTTGGGCTTGCTTTGTTTTGCCTCTCTTTTGAGTCAAGTTCTTGGTGAGGCGAGCTACTTCTTGTTTAAGTTGCTCATTCTCCATTGCAACCTCTTTTGTACATGTTTCTACAAACATATTCTCAAAACAAACTTGGTTGCAAGGGGGTGAGTCTAATAAATCAATGTAAGAAGTAGAGGCATCCTTTTTAGGCATGTCAAGGATTGAGCTTTTCTTTTTAGGTGCCTCGGTGGGGGTTGTACCGACGACTTCAAGATTAGCAACTTTAGTTGTTAGCTCATCACAATGTTTGCACATGATTTCCATTTTGGCAAGCAAACATTTATAAGCATCTTATGTGCTAGGTAACTTTTCTTTTAATTTTTCATTTCTCTTCACTAGTTGCTCATCATTGATTGTGCATTCATTTGTGTTTGCACTAGCCTCTAATTGCTCAATTTTAGTGGATAGCTCAACATTAAGATTAGCAAAAGTTTTATATTGTTCAAGCAAAACTTTATAAGCTTGTTGAGAGCTATCTACCTTTGCTTTTAAATCATTTATTTTCTTTTGTTGGCTAGTGCAAGCCTTAGCATATTTAAGATTATCTTGCACAAGTTGATCATAGGAAGATATCTCATCATCACTATCACTATCACTTGAGCTAGAACTTTCGTTACCTCGTGCCATAAGGCACACACGTGAAGTGCTTGATGATAATTGCCTACGGCCATGCCTCTTGCGTTGGGCTTCATCTTCACTTGATGAATCATCCCAAGTCTTGATTGTTGTGAGGGCCTTGGCCTTGCATGCCTTCTTCCTTGTCTTGGGTGTGAGCTTGTTCTTTGGACAATCTTCTACAAAGTGCCCTCTCTTGCCACATCCATAGTATCCTTTCTTTCTTTGCTCTCTTCTTTGATTGGTGAAGATGCAATCTTCGATTTTGGATGGACACACCCTTGACATTGAGCTTGCAGATCAACTTCTCCACTCCTTGTATAAGCTTGATTGTTTCTCTATCATTAATTGAGGAGTTGGAGGAGGTGGAGGCTTGATCATCATCACTTGATTGTTCATCATTATCCTCATCTTCTTCATCATCACTTGAGGAGCTTGAGCTTGAGCTCGACTCAACTTTCTTGCCCTTCATCTTCTTTCGCTAGTCACATGCGAGAGCGGTGGCTTTGCTTGATGAATTGGCTTCTTCTTGACCCATCTTGCATGACATTTCATATGCCATAAGCTACCAATGAGGATGGCCGGGGTCATGTTGCTCAAGTCCTCCAAGTTGTGAAGGATGGTGATGACGCTTGCATATTTTGAATGTGGTAGCCCGAGATGATCTTTCTCACAATATCCGCATTACCTAGCTTTGTCAACCCTATGGAATTGAGCTCATTGACAATTAAATTCAAACGAGAATACATGTCTTTAACAAGCTCATTTTCATTCATTTAAAGGAATCATAGGTTGATTTAGCTAGGCAATGTTTTTACTCACGGACATTACTTGTGCCATCATGGAGCTCATGTAATTTTAACCAAATTTCATGTGAAGTATTTAATGTGAATACTTGGTTAAACACATCCAAGCTAAAGGATTCATATAAGCAATTTTTAGCTCTTGCATTAAAATAAATCTCTTTCTCATCACTCGCGGTGGGTTTCTTAGGATTTTTAAGAGATTTCATCCCATCGCGAGTGACTCTCCAAACACCTAGATCAACCGCTTCTAGGTAGCAAGCCATTCTAGCACTATAATAGGGAAAGTTAGTGCCATCAAAGTGCGGAGGCCTAGAGGTATCCATCCTTCCATCTCTAAATAACGTCGGATCAACGGCGGTGAAGCCAAAGGTCTAAAGATGAGCCAACCGGCTCCGATACCAATTGAAAGGACCATGATGCCTAAGAGGGGGGGTGACTTAGGCAACTTAAAACTCTAACTCTAATCTATAGCCTCTTTTCTATACTTAGCAAAACCTATGTAAAAGATAAACTATCTAGATGTGCAATTACGGTTTTGCTAGTGTGTTGTTATCTCTACCGCAAAAGGAGTTAAGCAACCTAGGTTCCAAACCTATCAACTATCCTATCAACTAAGCTATGAAAGGTAAAGCTCACACCAAGGTTACAATATAAATGCGGAAGCTAAAGAGTGAGGTAGAGATGCAAACTCCCATCGATGACTCTGGTATTTTTATCGAGGTATCGAGAAGCACGCAAGCTTCCCCCTAGTCCTCGTTGAAGCCTCTTGCAAGGAATTCCATGCAAGGGCCAAGCTCCTGGTCAGGTCACTTCCATGATAGCTTCAGGCCTTCCCCACGCGCAAGTGGGTCTCTGGTTAAGCCACTCATGGCAAAGCCTCTCACGGATCTGTCCCCGCCGTCTTCACTATCAAGTTTCCGGCGAACCGCCATGGGCCTTGTTCCCTTCGGTACGTGGTGGCGGCCACACCACAAACGCGGTTGGTGTGGTCTCACAAGACTACAAGCCCCTCCGATGTACAACAACGGTGCACGCAAGCACCGAGAGATAAGAGGTATTCTAACCTCACTAAACACTAGGCCTAAACCTAGAGCAAGCGCATAAGCGGTGGTCTAACTAACCTAAGCACTTCACAAAGCACCTATGCTAATCACCAAGTATATCACTAAGCACTATGCATATGGAGAGCACCAAAGTAGTGTATCAACACCCTAGTAGTTTTCCTCGGCTCTTCCACATCTCATTTGGCCGGTTGGGGGGGTCTATTTATAAGCCCCATGGAGAAACTAGCTGTTGGAGCCAACTTTAGCAATTATGGCTAGCA